GTAATTTGTGTGAGCTGTCACCCCTTTTTACCCCATCCATATCTACTGTCCACTTTACCTTATTTTCACTATCCAAATATTATCTTTATCCTCATCTTTAAATTTTAATTTTTAAAACCTTTTTTCTCTTTTACGTGCCACACTAAATGGCAAAAGTTCCCATATAATGCTACAGGGAATGTTTAATTCCCAAACTAAAGTGCTCATCCAATTAATTCCTCAAATGGGGTGTTTTCTACAGTAAATTTAGGATCTCTCAGCGTCTTCAGGGTTAACCAGATTTTTGGATTGTTTATTGGGATCTCTAGGCGTCTTTAGTAGAATCCATGAAAAAATTTGGCTTTTTTACACAAATATCACCTTAACATAAATTAATTACTTGTTAAGCACTGTTTAAGAATATTTTACGGATCTAACAAATTTTTAAATACTTTATATAAATTTAATCATATTTTGTTAGTATTTTTTTAATTATTTAATTATTTAATTTTATATTTATTTAATTTTTTGCAGTTATAAAATGGAAAGTGGTCCTTGAATAATTATATGCATATTTCTCGGCTTTTAAACTTTTCTCTCGGCTGTAAATACGCTCTCAACTTGTAAACATTCACATCAATCCTCTAAACTAGAAGAATGTCGTCGCTTCAGTATAGATATCCACGTGTTGAGAGCGTATTTATAGCCAAGAGAAAAGTTTAAAAGCTGAGAAATCCGAATATAATTATTCAAGGACCACTTTCCATTTTAACTGCAAAAAAATAAAATAATTAAATAAAATAATAAAAAAAATTAAATAATATAATAATTAAATAAAATACTAACAAAATATGATTAATTTTATATAAAGTATTTAAAAATTTGCTTAATCTATAAAATATTCTTAAACAGTGCCTAACAAGTAATTAATTTATGTTAAGGTGATATTTGTGTAAAAAGGCCAAAATTTTTCATGGATTTCAACTAAAGACGCCTAGAGATCCAAGCAAGAGTAAAAAAAATATGGTTCACCCTGAAGAGGCCGAGAGATCCCAAATCTATCGTAGAAAACACAAACAATCCAACACCCTGAAGACGCCGGGAGATCCCACCAAAAAATCTGGTTAACCCTGAAGACGCCGAAAGATCCCAAATTTACTGTAGAAAATACCCCATTTGGGGAATTAATCAGATGAACACTTTAGTTTGGAAATTAAACATTCACAGTAGCATTATATGAAAACTTTTGCCCACATTAAATATCCCAACCTTAAATATTTACTCACACTTATTTCCTTTTACCTATCACCTTCCCCTTGACCGTTTCTCTTCCCTTTACAAGACTCTTCATTTTTTCAAAGCTTCTTTATTTTTCTTTCTTTATCTTTTATTTCAAGAAAGCTTTTCCATATTCCATGGCACCTAAAAAGAACATGGTCGTTAAGAGCTCTAACCTTCACCTTGTTTTTTCGCTGCCAACCTCGGAGTCGAAAGCTACCGCTGAACCTATACAGTTTCTGGAGGCTGCGCAACAACAATGATATTATGACTTTACTAACTGGGAGTTCGTTAATGAGTAGGGTTTTGACCTCTCAACCGCCAAGGACTTAACTTTGTTTGCTTATATCACAAACATCATTGAAAAAATGAAATGGGCAACAATTTGCTCCCATCCCGGCGAATTCAACCATCGTTGGGTGTGGGAGTTATATAGTAACCTGATGCATGAGAACAAGCCATTGATCTTTTTTCGAAAAAAGCTTGTGCACTGGCGGGCTACTCATATCAACAGCCTGATGGGGCTTGAGGATGGAGTATGTGAGCACACCAAGTTTGTGAACCACCTTACCACCAAGGACTTGGAGCAAGTTGCCAAAGATGTATGCTTACCTAGAAAATATGGCTTAATCCTTATTCTGGAGGCTATACCATGAGGCGTTTGGACCTTGACCGTGAAATAAGGTATGGTTTGTTTTTCTTCGAATACGTTTAATGCCAACCATACATTTTTCCACCATCACTAGAGATAGAATCTTATTGTTGTATTCCATCCTGAAATGTCAAATTATTGATGTTGGATAAATTATTTCGGCTGAAATCTTCGCCTATAGCCAAAAGGCTAGCAGTTATCTTTATTTCACTTTCCTCATAACAACACTATGCCAAAAAGCACAAGTGGATCGATTACCTTCCGACCAGGTATCCGAGAACCGGAACACTATACCACTATGATCAAGCACACCTTGTTGAATGAAGAACTTGACCCCAAGCTGTCTATGCCAAAAGTCGAGTAAGCCACACCATGCTGCTGGCCAAGGTGCTAACCCACAACCTGTGAACCAATTGTTCGATCTGCCGGAGGCTATGGCATCTATGGCAACACAGCAAGCCAACATCCTGTCTATGCTAAATCATATAATTCAAAATCAGTCTCAGCTACAATCGGCCCAAGTACAGTATTGGCAGTATGCTCAAGCCAGGGATGCTGTCTTGAAGAAGTTGTATGTATCATTTGTCAAGGGTAGGAAGTTTGTCTTTCTCAATTTTCCCACTAGTGTTCTTGCTGACTTGGCTCAACTATATGTATCCAATGCTTCAGATAGCTCTGATAGTGTTGAGAAGGTCCCAACAACCAATACTGATGCTGGAGCTAATTTTGTGGAAGCCAAAACTAAAACTGAGGAAGAAGTTGAAGAAGATTCAAAGGAAACAGCCAATGAAGAAGAAGTTGAAGAGGAGGAAGAGGCCGATTCAACAGCCTCAACCGGTGTCATTGATGTTGGATATGACAACGATAACTCCATGGAAACCACCGAGATAGTTAGCCAAGAAAATGAGAAGGAATGACTAGCTAGCCAAGAACAGACTATTGTGCGGTAATTGTTAGGCTTAAACACTGATACTGCTTCAAAGGTTGTTGTAGCAATGGAGCATCAGGAGCTGGATGCATCCAACTTGCCTCCAATGTGCTGAAGGGTGTGAATCAATTGGATGGCACTAGCCAGCTTAGAGATATCAACATTGATTCCCTACAAAAGTCGTTGATGCATACGCCTATCTCGGAAGTGGCCAATATTGTTGATTATGCAAAAATCACTAGTCAAATCATGATGGAGATCCAACAAGCCACTACGAGTCATCCCAAGGGCTCGTCCGATACTGCTTTGGGTGGTAATAGAGAGAATTTGGAGAACCTAGACACTATTATGCCCGAACCAGTCAAGAAGGTTCCCCTCGTTTTTGTTGTGGTCCAATTCACGTCAGCATCCACCGGTATGAAAAGAAAGAGTTGAAGGCCAAAGTCAGTTCCAAGCGATTCCATCCCACCGTTTCCAGCTCGACCAAGAGCCCACGAAAACCAAACTAGGGGAGTCTTGTTCCCTTTTCTTTATTTGTTTTTTTTTTATTTTTCGGTTTTTTTCATTAAGGACAATACCCCGCTTAGGTTTGGGGGTGTTGTCCATTGGTTTGGTGCATTTACAATTTTGTTGCATTTAGTTGTGTTTTGTTAATAGTGATAGCATGCTGTTAAGCATTTTATTTAGCATTTTGTCTGCATGAAGTTACATATAGCATTGTTTAGTTTTGTATGAAAATTGCCATGGATTAAGCTGTAGAAATCAAGGAACTTTTAATTTATTTTGATGATACCCAATGATGAAATAGGTTTAAAAATGAAATGTTATAGAGTTGCTTAAGAAACTTGTTCGAATTAAAGTACATAAGGAAATTCGTTACCTTAGGTGTATTATCTCAATACTTAGAGGCTTTATAAGCTTTTGAATTGATTTCACATCCATAATAGATGATGTAGCATTTGTAGAACTAGAGGTGCCCGAAACTGGCTCTAGTATGAAAAAATTCCAAACTGCTACAGGTGACTAACACTGGCTCTAGTAAAGAAAAGGAAACAAACATGCTAGAGGTTCCCAAACACTGGCTCTAGCATTAGACAATGAAAAATACTAGAGGTTCCTAACACTGACTCCATCATAAATTAGGAGATTACAACAAAATTGATAATCTTTAATTGAGTAGGTTCATATTTTTCAAAATTAGCTAAGTATTGATTAGATACACCAAACCTGCACACTTGCATACTATGAACTTTGATTTGAATGAGGAATTCCTACTTAAAATTATTTGGATATTGTTTACATTCCTGTAGCATAATTCTAAGGGACGAAAAATAAAGTAAATATTGAATTGGCTTTTCTAGTTTTTATGTATGGTGTTGATGTTTAGTTATTGAATTTCATGTCTGTGTTGCTTGAGGACAAGCAAATATCAAGGTTTAGGGGTGTGATAACTCTAAAAATGAGTTATCATTTTAGCACTTTATACCTAGGTTTAACTTGAATTTGAGTATGATTAAAAGCATTTTAGGATTATTTTAGTCTTATTTTCTTGTATTTTTGCATTGTTAAAAGTTAGGTTAACTTGGGCTAATTTTTGGATTTTCCTGCTGAAAAAGGTACAGATGCTACAGCAAAGAAGCAAATGCTACAACAACTGATGACTCACTAGGTTGGGCATAACCTTCTGGAATTGGGACAACTGGATGGGACAATTGTATCCTCTCTAATCAGTTGCAACTATGTGGAGAATCTTTATTGGAGACAATTTTAACCTTCTTTACTTATAAATAAGACATTCCTCAGCTCATTTAATGATCAATTCATTCTATCATCTTTCACACAAAATCTCTCATCTATTTTTCATTGCTACCTAAGCCACCTAGTTGGGGTGTGCTGCCGCATCTGGGATCAATCTTCGCTGAGTAGTATCGACAGTCAGTAGAGTCACTTCAATTACTTAGACTTTGCCTGATATAGGGAATTTAGATAGTTGATTTTATATATTTGTGAAATTTTAATGTTTTAAACTTAGCCATTTGGGTGGAAACTTTTTGTAGATATCTGTTTTTGACCGAATTTGAAAATATTAAAAATATTAATTATATATTATTATAATTATTATTAATACAAATTACATTTTATATAGGCCTAGAGCTGGAGCCCAACACGACCGACACCAGCTCAAGCCAATAGTCGCTGCATACCAGCTAAAGTCAAACAATTGCTGAGCCATTCTCGCTGCCATTGACAAATCTGCACCCAACAGCAAACAAAAGCAAAAATCAGCAGAAATTTGAGCCAAAGTCAATTCCTAAACCTGTCAATATTTCACCAAATAATAAAGAAAAATCAACAAGAGGACAAAGATGATTCGGTGGAAAAAGATAGAAAAAGAGGAGCATTACATTTTTAGGGGGCTCGGGTTTTTCAATAGAGAAGGGAGAAAGAAAAAAAAAAGGCAACAGAGAACACGAACGAGGGAGCTCTCGGGCATGAAATATCAGAAAATAGGGGAAGCAGAGGAATCAACCAAAGAATATCACAAACAACAAACAGAGAACAGCATTCGGGGAAGAGAAATATTAGCAATTAACCGAGAGAACAGAAGGGAGAAAATACAGTTCCCCGTTGTTTCTTTTTTACAAAAAAAACAGCAACCAATGTAAAAAAGGATTGTACTCTATTTTCCTCTTATTCGAAGAATAAAGAAGCAGAAAAGTTCTCATTTCAGCAAATCAAAGCAATACAAAGAGAAATTCAGTCCATAAAAGGTTTTTTCTTGATTGTTATTAATATTTGTCATCATTTGTTTTAATAATTTCTAAACTAAATGCAAATCCTAAAATATAAAAATAGAAGTAGATACCTTCGGGTATAGGTTTGTCGTTAAAGTAGATGGATCAGAGACTTTAGGGTTCCATTGTCGAACTGTCAACGTCACCGCAATCGGATGAAATAGATGTGGGTTGTTTGGGTCCTTGCATGCCATTTACTTGGGTTAATCCTCATTTATCGGTTTCAAAAAAAAAAAACAGATTGATAAGGGCAAATTTTTTACCTTAGTGTGGCGAGCTCTCAAGTTCGGAGTAGTAGCCCTTGGAGTTGAGAAGCTAAGCAATCAGGTGGTTAGGTCTCAAAGCAGTAAGTTTCGGGTTAGGCTTTAGATCATAGCAGGAAAATCAATCGATAGGATTAAGCTTGGGTTTGGGGGCTGTTCGGTGAGGAGTAGAGAATGAAGGAGATAAGAGATTTGAAGCGGCGGGTAGTTGTGTAGGCTAAATGAAATTAGGGTAAGAATTCATCCTAAATATACTTTATACTAGGGTTCAAACGGTGTCATTTTAGCATAGTGAAACCTGTTTGATGCGTGTGAGGTTATTTGTGCGGTAAGGGTCTTAGTTTGTGTAATGGTTACAGGTTAGTCACCAATATTCTTGGTTATTATATTTTCAGATTTGGAATAACCGCTTTTAGATCCTCAATTTGCCGTATCTTATGTTTTGATCTCTATTTGCGGGGTATTATTGTTTTATTTCGAATGTGTGTACACTATTTACGTTTTTTCCTTTTTAATTTTACTTAATTCTATAAGTTTAAATAAGGTAAAATTTAAGTTAGGGTCCTTTGTCTTTCGATGTGGTCTTGCATTTTAATACTATGCTAAGTGTTTCTTTTTTATTTCGAATTTCATTCCTTTTTATGGAATTATAAAATTTACTGTTGTTAATTAGTGGGCCTTCTTTAAGAAAAATCAGGCTTTAGTTCATTAACATTTCCTAAGTTTCACAATTTATGTTTCTAAATCCGTTTTAGTTTAACGATTATTTTCTATTATGATTCCGAATTAGTTGTTAAGATTTCATTCATGATTATCAATTCTAATTAAATTTGTACCTTTTGATTTTAACGTACTTAAATTACTTCATTTGTTGGATATAGTCCTTACATTTAGATTTATTTTAATTTCACTTGTTAAGTAATTGCTTTCTTTAATTAGTTGTTTATGTTTTATTTCGCATGTTTATATGTTTTCACATGAACAAGTATACGACTGATTTATTTGCAAATTGTATGACATTTTTACATGAATTGTATGATATCCTCACGTGTATAACTTGACATCGTGACATAATCGGATTAAGGGTAATACCCTTTTAACTTAAAACTGTCAAAATGGTTTCTCTTAACTCACTAGAGAGTCCTTTTGACGATTTTAAATTAAAAGTGTATCCCGTCAGTAATACCTAATTAAATTTGGATCTATCACCGTAAAATTTGGGAATGAAAGAAAAGGAAATATTCGACTATTTAAATTTTTCGAGAAAAGATCATTAGAACTCACCTAAAGATCTGGTCTCGATATTTGTAAATAATCGAATATTCTTTAGCTTTCTAATGGCTTTGTAATTCTAATCTAACTTATTTTGTTGCTTTTGAATAATATAGAACTTGCATTTTTGTTGTTTTAAGGGATCAAAAATTAAATTAAAGTTGAACTTGTAAAATTCGTTGCAAAGACATTATTTAATCAACTAGGGACCGATTTTAGGGCGTTGTGGGGGTGCTAATCCTTCCCCGCACGTAACCGACTCCCAAACTCGTTTTCTGGTAAGGCAGACTTCAATTTGTCGTTTTAATTGAAATTAATTTTTATTTAAAATGACAAAAACGTTTTTGGGTGCCCAATCACACCTTAATCAATGATTGGTGGAAACTCTTCGAACCATACGTTTTTATCGTAAAGGAAATCTCAAATTTTTTGAAACGAGAGAGGTTTTTTCTAATCACATTACTTTTTAATTAAAAATTAACCAATTAAGACGTAAATTAAAAAGTGGTGTGGTTTTCAAAAATCTCGCTCGCCCCACGGAAAAAAAATCGTTTCTACAGCTTGGCGACTCCGCTGGGGATAATTTTTTAGAGAGTCAGGCTGATAATCGATTAATTAATTGTCTTTGCAAACGAAAGTTATAAGTTCGTTCTAATTTGGTTTTTGATCCCTTGTTTGTTTTGAATTTCTTGTTTGTATTTTAATTTGTAATTTGGTTAACGAATAAATAGTTGTACTAAGGTGTGATTTCCATGTTTCAGTTTTCTGACCTTTATTTTAGTTTGTTGCTTTTCTTGGATCGAGGCAAAGGATTATGAGTTTCCCCTTACTGTCGCTATAACTTTTCGATATTTAGAGCCTTCTAACTGTGCTCTCTACCGTTAAGTAGAGGTGAACGCTACGCTTACGTGAGAAAAATTACTTTTCTCCGCATGGGCTTTAGCAAGTAACCACTGGGGTACATGCCTTATGTTTACGAGCGAAACATTGAGTTTCCTCGCATGGACATAGGGAAATGTATCCGCTCGAATTGAACTTGATTCGTTTTAAGCTTATAATGGGTGAGAATCGAGGGTCTGGCAAGCCCAATGGGGCACCAGCAAAAGACAATTCGAGGACCCTTTTAGTGATACCAAAACTTTGCCCGTCTTATGCTGAATCTCTGTCCGCAGACACGAATGGGAAACTCATTCTAACATTTTCCTCGAATTTATTTTTTGAAAAGTATGAGAACTAGAAAAGCATGCGGTTAGGTTTATTTTTTGAACAAACATGTGAATTAGATACCACGCGGTTAGGATTTTTTGTGAATGACAAAGCATGTGGGCAGATACCATGTTGGGTAGGATTTACTAAAGCATGATTGAGTAGCCAACATGTGAGGGTAGGTTTTATTTGATGTTTACGGTACCCACTATCTTGTTGTTTATCTTATGTGCACTAACCCGTTTTTGTCCTATGTTTATGTTATTGTGATTTTATTGCATTTTCATCCTCATGTCATCGAGGGGTGTTAATTCGCAAGTGATTGACTAACAAGAAGGCTGAACATATTGAGGCAAGAAATTCTCCACCATGTAGTCAAAACCAGGAGATCCAGAGATGTTCAAACGATCCATGAAGAAGGACGCCCGATGAATGAAGAGATCTGAAGCTGATTGAAGAATTCCTTTAAAAGTGCAAAGGTGAAGATGTTGACTCAAGGGATAGATACAGTCATACCAAGGACGAGAAGACCATTCGTAAAGACGAGAAGACCATTCATAAAGACATGAAGACCCTTCATAAAGACATGAAGACCACTTCGCATTGGAGGTAAGAATGAAGATTTCAATATTCAATTTAAGGACATCCGACTTCATCAAAGGTGATGGAATACGTCGACGATTTTGGATGTGCAATACCAGATCCCATGAAGAGTACGACTCAAGGAAATGAAGAGATGAAGAGTCACAGATGTATTTTGACTACACGTTGTACTTACTAAATTCTTGTTATCTAAGTGAACGGTTGTTCTATAAGTGGTCACTTTCAGAATTAACACCTCGTGCATTTGCATTCTTATTTTTTGCATTTACTTATTAATTTAGTTTTCTATTGTTGTTTTTTGTCATTTTGTTACCTTATTTGTACTGACTTTTTTTTACGTTGTCTGCATTGCTTGATCATGACATAATCAAAAGGTGTCGATTTGTGAGTGGTCAGTATAGTAGAAGGTTTTCATAACGGACAAGGGGTTTCGTGATTAAGCAGACTATAACACAGATGAGAAATGGCATCTTAAGAAAGCTTCGAGAATCGTGGAAAGATCTGCACCCGAATATCTCATAACTGAGGAAGAGCAAAAGGAGATAGGAGAGATAAAAGAGCAGATGTACATGATGATGGATATGATAGATGCTTTGTCCAAAGGAAGAGAGACTTCTACGACAGAGCTCTACAGAAGCAACCTTGAGGTGTCAAAGATGCAAGAGACTACTTTAGAGCCTGCTGATTCTAGCCAGTATGAGAGGCCACACACAATCATTGTTTGTATCAACAAGCTGTTTAGAAACACCAAAGAAATAGTGGCAACTACAGAAATTCAGAAGGATGAAAAGAAGCCATGCAATCAGAACTTGGTGGTATTTGATAGTTTACTCCAGACATCGGGGGAAGTAAAACTTGAAACTGCAGTTTAACCCAAGCTGAAAGGTGGTTCTCGTTTTGATTCTATCCCAATATCATATAAAGAGTTGTATGATACATTGTTAGAAGCCCGAGAAGTGGTCCCGCATTATGTGAAGCCTTTGCAGCCTCCATATCCAAATTGGTATGACGTCAGTGTTCGTTGTGAATATCATGTTGGGGTTCAAGGACATTCCATTGAGAATTGCACCACCTTCAAACATCGAGTCCAACATCTTCTGGATCATGGAGTATTGGAATTTGAATTAAAAGGACAACACACTTCAGTAGCAGCTTATCCTGTTGAGTCTGAACCGAAAGTGACCAAAGGTAAGGGTATCAATGAGGACATCCAAGAAGAATATAGTTTGCCAAGATATGAAGCTCAGATTCGTCATTTAAGGAACGAAAATGATAGATTGAGCAGAGAGATGGAAGTTATGTGGGATAGTTTTCAAAGGATCAGCCACACCTTTAAATTTGCCGGCATAGGAAATGTCCCAGAGGAGTGGATAACAGGGGTCGCTAAACTGAAGAATGACGTTGAACAGTGGAGAAAGAATTACAAGATGCACGAAGGTCAAGCCGAGAAGTTTTCTTATGATTTACAGATTACAGAGAAAAGGCGCGATACATCTATCAATGATTTGGGTAGATATCAAGCCGAAAATCAGACGTTGAATTTGACCATAGCTAATATGGAATCTCACATCAATGCCATAAGCGGGAGAGTGAAGCTGAGCTAGAAGCCACTAGAGCCAAGAACCAGAAGTTGATGAAGATGGTGGATGATTGTAGTGATCTTATACAAGAGTTTCATAACCATAATGACTTTCTTACAAGGAAAAATCAACAACAGTGTCTACAGCTCCAAGAATCGGCACTCAAGATAGAGAAAATGGACAACATCATGAAAGAAGCTATGACCCAAGCAAGAAGTGTGGCTCACAAATTGGTTGATTTAGATGGCTTTGCAAGAGAATTGAAGCATATTGACAACTCAATCCCCGAGCATGAGTGGAAGTTAAATTGGCTTTTGAAGGAGATAGAAAAGCTAGGAGTGGAAGTTGTCCATTATCTGTAAAAGTTTGTTTGATGTACCGAAACCTTTGTGTTCAATGAAAGTTATTTTAAGATGGTCACTCTAAAATGATACCTTTTGTTTTTGCATTTAGCATTTGCATTTGCATTGCATGTATTTATTTAAGCATTTTATATGCATTAACTATGAAAACACGGAAATAACTTATGAAAGATTATGTGACAGTAATA